AAGTGATAGTCCTGCATTTTGAAGGTAGGAGTACCAATTCCTTTGCTCACGGTACATTTATGCAACGGCAAGGTGTCCTCCTACTTCTTTCTGTGACCTGTTGGTCAGGGGGTTCTAAGCAGCGTGGCAGGAGGATATGACCCTGTTAACCAGACATTGTGTGCAGTGCTTTTGTGTGGTCTTAAAGTATATTTCCACGTTTGCAGACGAAATTCAGAAAACCCCTCTATATGTTTGTTATGTGTCCCTTTTCACACAGCCTATCTAGCTATAATTTAAAAAATATATTTTTTTTTGCCTTTTAGACTTCAGTAACAACAAGCTCTGACTGTCTTAAAAGAAACACTAAGAACAGACTCCGTTCCCCCTCATTAACATACAATGGGGGAGATCTATCAAAACTGGAGCCATGGACAGGTCTAGGAGCCATTATTTTATTACTACGTTATTTTAGCTCCCAAGGCAAAACAAGCACTTAACCCTTGCAGTGGTTGAAAACATTTGTTGATTTGATTTCAGATCTTTCAATCAAAGAGACTCAGTTTAACTTGTGGGCGTTATCTAGGGCAGAGTGCATGCAAATGTTGCCTAGGAATGCCCACTCCGCAGACTGATATTTACCTATCAAGGCATTTTGATATTTGCATAAATCCTCCCAGGAGCCAGCCCACTGCTTGCATCAGTTCTGAGGGGTCTTGATAGGAAGCACTGAGACAGGGTGCTGTGATTATTATAATTTTTTTATAGTAAGGTATGTAATGAAAAGAGACACAATGGGGGTCGATTTGACCACATAAACAAATGTTCTGAAAATGATTTTTTTCTAATTAAATTCTACTGGTGTATGGCCAAAAAATGTAAGAAAATAGGAAAATTTTAAAAGAATTAAAATAGAAAAGAAATTAAAAAAGAAAAAGAATAAAAAAAAAAAAGAAAATGTAGCCCGTACAGCAGCCCTTCGGTTCGACTGTACCGGAGGATAGAGGCGGCCGAAGAGAACCAAAGGATCAGCCAAAGCTATGGCTGGATCCTTCGGCTCTTTATTGAATAACCCCTAAATGTTAGTTTTGGGTGTACTGGCCCTTTAACAATGTGCACATTGTTAGTGCCAATAAACCCGTGCCCCAACATCCGTCACATAATCTATGATTAGAGGGTGATAACACTTCTGGTCAACAGAAACACTCATTTTCCAAATGGAATTTTTGTGACCAAATGCTTTTCCATGGAAAGGAAAATAAAACATCTCTACATCTGAGCAGCATCTACATGTGGGCACTGTCGAGGGGAGGAGATTGCACAGGTGCAGGAGTAAAGCAGGCCATACACGGAGCACCCCTCCACTAGACAAGAATTTATATTTCAATCAACTTTTTTCTAAGGAGTCGGTGTGAAAATGTTTGACTTAAGAGTGCCTGCATCCAATCAGATGCAGTCACTGTCCAGGTATTCAGGAGCTGCTGGAGTAGCGGCTTCTGAATACAAAAGTTGGCAGTGGGAGATTCATCCATCTATTCTAGGCTGTTTAGTGTGGATGGAGGAATCCCACAGGCTGAACAAAACAAAATCTATTAGTGTATGGTCAGGTGAGACAGATGCCTTATCACCAGCCCATCTCAGTGATACATCTGCTCCTATAAAGCCAAGCTTATATGAAGTGCACTTTTCAACCAATTTTGATAACACCAACCAACTAAACACAACAAGGCAACCTATCACCACCAGTCTTGAAACGATGAAAAAAATCCTACTGGTTGATAGTAATTTTGTCAATGATCTTTGTGATTGAAAGCTGTCTGAAAGTGGGTCAAATTTCCTGTAAATGACTCCTATGCTGACCATGCACATATCAGTCTGATTGTTCCACCTCAAACCCAATTTGATTTTCCATGTAAATCAAAAATCAGCTATTTTTGATAAACCATGCACCTATCGAGTTGAAAAAAGTCTAAATAAAAATCCAATTACTATTTATTAGATTGCTTGATGGGGTTCCTGTTAGATTGCAAGTATTCTTCCGGTCTATTACAGAGACCCTGTCACTAGCTGAACGCAGTCAGACCTGCAGCACCCTGTAAAAGAAGAAGGGAATACTTATCTTTGCAGTGGGCTGTAACTCCAATAGTTGCTCTGTTGCAAAGCTATGGCCACTGATGCTATCCCAAACTTCCAGGGATATCAGATGAGTCGTCCCCTCTTGTGCAATGTGGTTCCTACCGCCTATTCTACGTCCGCACAAGAGACAATAGTGACATAAGGTTTGAAGGAGAAACCACAGCGTGCAGTGGGGTACATTCCCACTGTGCCAGCTAGCAGCGATGGCCATACCTCTGCAACAAAAAACTGTAATCACCACTCGCAGGAAAGGTAAGTATTCCTTTTTTTTGTTTTCAGGAGTGTGGCTCAGTGGTTAGATCGGGAGGTGAGCGAACATATACTGGCGTTCGCTCACCTCTGGTCCCTGTCACAGCGCGCTGCGGTGTCAGGGGAGGGGCTGGATTCCCCCCTCCGATCCGCCAGCGCTGACTGGTGGATCGGACGGGTGAGGGGGCGGTTACAGCTGGCTCTGCCTCTAGATAGGCAGAGCCAGCTGTCAGTCACGCAGCTGGGCGGATCCCGGCACAATTGTCGGGATCCGCTTCAACTGCGGCGTATCAGTATACCGCGAGCTACAGCTCGCAGTATACTGAGCCTAGGGTGACGGGAGGACGCTAGTTTGTGTTCTGCCGTTACCCTAAGGAGAACTATGGGGAAAAGCCTTAACCCCATAGTTCTCCTTTAATTTGAATGTTTCTTCAAAATAGTTTGTCAGAACATTTGATCTTGCCATCATTGAGTCAACTAATATAATTCGAAACTCCTGAAAGAGAAGAACTCCAGGGATGAACAGATTTAACCCTTGCAGTGGGACTACCCTCGCACTGCAAGCGTTAACTGCTTATTTTGTTTCTTGGGGCCGGAATACAGAAGATATGCTCAGCTGATCCTCAGTCCTGAGGCAGTCAGCACTCACCTCTCTCCCACTCCACTCCAGCTGTGGTATATCCCTCGGTGTCCTCAAATCTAATGCAGGTGAATGGACCGGAGCACAGGGGAGAAGAAGCTGTGAGGACTGGTCTAGCATCCAGGATCAAGGATCAGTCAAGTATATCTTCTTTATTTTAGCCCCTAGACCAAAACAAGCAGTTAACCCTTGCATGGTGGGGGTAGCCCCACTGCAAGGGTTCACTTTGTCAATTCCTGGAGTTCTTCTTTAAAAATCCCATCCAGACCTGCTGTTTGAATGGAATGACAGATGTATTAAACAGGTTTCTTCTGTGCCTAGCACATGCGCATTGCAATATATATGATTTTTCCTGAACGAAAATCACATTCGCGGTTAGAATTTCGCTTGTTTAGATAACAAACGAGAACAAATTTCCATCCTGAGTCTTTGATTTTTCTCCTCACTATGGGCAAAAATGAATGTCAAGTAAACCCCAGCAACGATTAAAGGAGAACTATGAGGTGAGTGATTTTCACTCAACCTCATAGTTCGAGCCGACGTGTGACAATGAAACTGTCACACGTCGGCCGAATAGATCGGGAAGTGAGCGGACACATACCGTCTCTCGCTCACTTCTCAATCATGCCCCTGCAGAGAGTGGTGACTGTTACTCACGGGAGGGGGCGGGTACAGCTGGCTCTGCCTCTAGATAGGCAGAGCCAGCTGTCACTCACGCAGCTGGGTGGATCTTGACAGTATTGTCGGCATCCGTCCCGGTTGCGGCGGTCTCAGTATACCGCGAGCTTTAGCTCGCGGTATACTGAGTTTTGGGTCATGGCAGGACGCTAGTTTATGTCCTCCCGTGACCCTAAAGAGAACTATGGGGAAAAACACTTACCCCATAGTTCTCCTTTAAAAAAATCAAACTTCCAAAAACAACATTTTTTTAAATGAAATTTTACTGGTGTATGGCCAGCTTAAAGTGACAACAAACGCAGGAGTTAAATCCTAAAAATACATTCAAGTACCTTAACTATTAACAAAAATGTATCATATTTGTGTATCACTCGGCTGTAGATCCTCAAATCATCTCTGACTTGGTGCTGACACTGTCCTTCCTTCTGGGGGGTGGCAACTTTTGTTCCCCATGGTCCCTGTGTGTGTTGTAAAGTAGCCACCGCTCCAAGCTGAGTTTAGTGTCACGTTAAATTGGCCCTTGTATGTGGGCATATGAGATAGCAACCTTAGATTGTAAGCTCCTCAAGTCATGGACTAATGTGAATGTGCATTATGCAAAAATGAATGGCTCTATATAAATATCTGTAATAAAAAAATGTAATTAAAGTGCTGATCTGACTTCTTTTAGCTAGTAACAGGGTCAGGTTAAATCTATTTCAGTCCATAAAATCGATCGAAGTTTGTTAGTCAACCAAATATCTTATGGGCCATTGGCTTCATTTTTTGTAACGCCAGCTTTTAATTGAAAGCTTATGAAATCTAGTTAAATGTGGTTATAATTGTCTAAAAGTTAGGGATATTGTTAATTAATTAATTATTAGTATTATCCAGAATAAAATAATACATTCAACAAAAAAATCCCCATCTGCCTCCATCTTCTGCAGATAAAAAGTGTCAACGGTAAATCTTTTTAATGGGTTGCAAATATTGTAGTAGATGGAACAATAGTAGCGGGGCAACGTATCTCTGTGACATGAAAGTCTAATGAAGATTACATGTGCTGCCTAGGAATCACATAATACGGTGTGAACAAGACACAGTATATAAAACAAAGCAGCACTGATACATGAAAAGAGGATATTTACACACAAAAAAAATAACAGAAAAAAAAATCTCAGCTGTGGATAGAGCATCAGGGAAAATATGTTTGTTGTGATAAAGGGGACTACCACGGAGAATGTGTGAGGGGGGAAGGCAGACAGTGACATATTGTCACCCCCTCCCCTTCCCCAAACACAGGGCCAGGGAGGGTCCGGCTTCCTCTTACCTCATATCATCTCCCCCTGACTTCCCAACACAGGAGGAGGGGGAGAGGGAGCTGGAAACAAAAGAGGGGAAGGCATCTGCTCAAACTTCCTGAAAAAAAAAAAAAGGGAGAAAGGAGAGCAAGACTACAGAGAGGAGAGGAGACTTACGGAAGCAGGGGACCCAGACACAATAATGATACCACGGAACTGACACAAAAAAGGACACATTGGGAACTGATAGATTGATCAGAGCTGATAAAGGGAAGGTGTGGGGTGGGAGGACAGAGAAGGCAGATTTGCATGTAAAGAATAGGGGGAGGAAGAAGAGGCATAGGTGAAGACAAAGCTGCGCTAAGAGGATGTCTACCTCTATTGTAAGAAGAGAAAGCAAGAAGAGCCTGCAGAATCTACTAAGGTGAGGAAGGACAGTGATTGAAAATCAGAGACCACATAGCAGTGACCAATTTACATATCTGTTAGCGGTTTATGACTTTCGGTGGCAACATCAGGTTATGAAGATTTGTGCCTGCAGTTTTTTCTCCCTATCAAACCTCTTCTTTCTCTCCACACTAACTTAAATTTGCAACTACTAACGTCCTCATGGTTATAAGTCATGAATGATATGAAGGATGAATGATATCTGGGTGCCCTTCTCTGATTGTATAGGGATGAGTGATATGTGAGTGCCCTTCTCTGATTGTATAGGGATGAGTGATATGTGGGTGCCCTTCTCTGATTGTTTAGGGATGAGTGATATGTGGGTACCCTTCTCTGATTGTATAAGGATGAGTGATATGTGGGTTCTTATCTCTGATTGTAGAAGGTTGAGTGATATGTGGGTTCCCCCCCTCTGATTGTATAAGGATGAGTGATATATGGGTGCTCCTCTCTGATTGTATAAGGATGAGTAATATGTGGTGCCCCTCTCACTGTAGAAGGATGAGTGATATGTAGGTGTCCCCCTCCGATTGTAGAAGAATGAGTAATATGTTAATGTCCCCCTCTGATTGTAGAAGGATGAGTAATATGTTAATATGTGGGTGCCCCCCACTGTATGTATAAGGATGAGTAATATGTAGGTGCCCCCCTCTGACTGTATAAGGATGAGTTACGTGTGGGTGCCCCCCTCTGATTATAGAAGAATAAGTATTATGTGGGTGCCCCCCCTCTGACTGTATAAGGACGAGTTACGTGTGGGTGCTCCCCTCTGATTGTAGAAGGATACACGATATCTGAGTGCCCCCTTTGTTTGTAGAAGGATGAGTATTATGCGGGTGCCCCTCTCTGACTGTACAAGGCTGAATGATATGTGGGTTCCCGTGAAGTTATTTTACAATGCTAGCAACTCTAAAGTCAAAGGGGGCGATAACGCCGAGCTATTAGCAGAGCAGTACGGAGAAACTGTATTTTGTGAAGGACTTGCAATTGATTCAAATGAATGGGCTGGGATGGTTGTAGTGTTGGTGGGAAACAACTTGCCTGTTGATGAGGAGGAAGGAAGAATCCATGTGGGGGAATGTGGGGAGGATGTGATGGAATGTCAGGCACAAGAAGTGCCAGGATGGAGAAGGACATATAGCCAGGTACCCATGTATGCCATCCTGTACTGTGTACATAGCTGTCAAATAGATTATTAGCATATTAAAATCATTTGCAGGGTCATTTTGCTTTGCTGGTGTAAGTATTTGGTGTTGGGAGCTTGACGTAGTTGCTTTTGTTGCCAAAAACGTAAAACTAAAAGTGTTTACGTTTGAACCAGAAAGTAAAACCAGTCGATGTCCCATGAGCTCTGTGTACGACTTAACCCTTCAGTAGCCTGCACCATAATACTTTAAGACTTAGCCTCTGCAACACTTAAACTTTAACTCCTAACCTATAATGCTGAAACCTAAAACCCACAAAATCTGAACCAAAGAACAAACATTTGATATATTACAAGTCCTTAGATGTGGTCGCTGCATTCGTTTTATTTTCCTTTTTTTTCAGGCTATTTATTTTTTAGTTTTCACCTGGTTGTCCTGCCAATAGCACACTTCCTTCCTAGGGTGACAACGCTCACTCACCATACTGTATCTATGGAGAACCATTGCTTTCATCCTGGGGCAGAATTTCAGAATACCTCCTCCTCTCCTCTTCTCCATAACATAGGGGCAAGGTTTTTGTCATTCATGGAAATAACTGGAAATAATGGTAACTGATGACAGAGAGCACACGATGTTATCAGCTGACAAGATTTCTGGCAGGATCAACAGGATTTTGTTTTTTGTTTTGCATTTATTAAACAAATCACTTTTAGTGGTATATTTAACAAAGCAGATGGGAATAAACAAAATAGGTTTGTTGCTAGGGTTTCCATATACTTTCAGACTTAATGTGACCCTAATGCTTAACTAAATATTCTATATAACCTCAATGAATTAACCCCTCATACAAGATTTCCCACAAGGCCAACCGAGGCCCGGCCTCGGGACAGCAGGTAATAGAGGGGCAGCAGTGGAATTCCTATCTCCTGACACCCAGGACATGCAATTCCAGGCGGGTAGTTGTTTTATACATTTAGCCCTGCTTTTGACAAGTAGGGCTAAATGTAGAGCAGGGAAGCTTCCACTCATTCTGTACAAGTGATAATAAAGTAAAAAAAGAAAAAGAAATTAAAACCAACCCTGCTGCCCTGCCATCTGGGGGAAATTTAGCGTGGAGGGGGGCACATCAGGGACCTGGCCTTGGGGCATCAGAGAGAGTAAATCCGACCCTGCTCATACCCCAGCATTTAACTTTGCACCCTAATACAGGTCATACTCACAGTGATAGGATTGCTTATTATATGTATTGTTTTCATGAAAGGAATGTATGTTTTAGAAATCCATTGCAGGAAACAATTGTTTCAATCCAGGAATTATTGCTTTCTTCCAAAAGGGGTGACCCGTCATGGTGGAATATGCAGGTGAATTAGGGTTAGTTAGGATCAGTGTTTTGATTGGAGTTAAGAGGTATGGTTAGAGTGTGGGTTAGTGCTACAGGGAATGTTACAGGTAGTCAGGGCCGTCTTTAACGCAGTGCAAAAGGGGCAGTTGCCTCAGGCCCAGTCATTGCTGTGGGGCCCAAAGTAGCTGCCCTTTGAGCCAGCAAAAGATACACGTTGCATCATACTTTTACTATGCAATCGGCATCGCATGGTGGTGCTTTGCCACTGCCGTGCGCTGCGTAATGATGTCACATCTTACGCGGGGTCACGTCTCCCTTTGAGACATATTCTCCTATCTCCTCCTATCGCTTGATACGGGGCATGGTGGGTATAGGTTAGTGTTAGGGTTACAAGGGATGGTTAGAGTGAGGGTTATGGCTACAGGGAGGGTTAGTGTTAGAGTTAAAAGGAGGATTAGTGTTAGAGCTACAGAGAGGGTTTGTGTTAGAGCTAAAGGAGGATTAGTGTTAGAGCTACAGAGAGGGTTAGTGTTAGGGTTACAGGGAAGGTGAGGATAAAGGTTTTTGTGAGGGTTAGTGTAAAGGATTAATGGAGCATTAGTGTTAGGTTACAAGAAGTTAAGAAATTGGGTTACAAGGAGGTTATGGATTTGGGTTACAAGAAGGGTTTATGTTAAGGTTACAAGGGAGGGTTAGTATTAGGATTACAAGGAAGGGTTAGAGTTAGGGTTAGGGTTACAGTGAGGGTTTTATGTTAATTCTACAGGGAAGGATAGAGTAAGGGTTACAGGGAAGGTTAGAGTGAGGGTTAGGACTACAGAGAGGGTTAGTGTTAGAGCTGCAGGGAGGGTTAGTGTTAGGGTTACAGGGAAGGTTAGTGTCAAGGTTGGTGTTAGGGATTAATGGAGTGTTATTGTGAGTGTTAGGTTACAGGGAGTTAAGGGATTGGGTTACATGGAGTGTTAGTTTTAGGGTTAGTATTATGGGACACTAGGACTGCTAATGTAAAGTTAAATGTTAGGTTACGGTAGGGGGTAGTATTTGGGGTAGAGGGGAAGGCACAGTGAAAGTTAGTGTTAGGGTTAGAGAGTATGTCAAGCTGGTCGTAGATGGCTCATATTTGCCCAGTTGGTGCTAAATTGGTTGCAATTCCTGTCAGCAACACCCAGCAAGACAAAAGTCAATTAAATGAATCGTCCCATTCAGCCAACAAGCTAACATTAGTGTTGCAGCGAGTGTTAATGGGTCAGTGTTAGGATTATGTTACAGGAAGGGTCAGTGTTAGTGTTAAGGTTACCAGTTATGTCAATGTGAGGGTTACAGTATTGGTTACTATAAAGGAAGGCCTTAGGGCAGGTCATGGGCTGAAAACTACTGGCCCCAAACTCACGCCACTGAAAGCTAATGTATCATGACATTTGCAGTGTATGTATTCCCTGGAACATAAGTGATGACATCATAGCAGCAGAGGTTGTAATGGTACTTATCACAATATGTTGTGCTGCATTATTAATATTTGTGATGATGCATTAGAGATGATCAAATCTGGAATTACTCACTGGAGGGAAGTAGAGATGTCTGGCGCTGTGCCTGTGAATCAGCAGCCAGTAAACTGCCGGAGTGAGGTAAAGTGACACTGTGAGGTCTGTTTATACATCTTTAATCTTTTTGTAAACCCCCTAAAGATACAGCCGGTGATAAATGTTCTGGCCACATTCCAGCGATGTTCAGACTCTCGGGTATGTACTTATACTGTCTGTCACTGCATGTTTGTACTGCTATGTCATAGCCATGCAGCCATATGTGTACAATTGGCATGCAGTGTTGTTTTTCTTGTGGTAGCATTTATAATACTGTATGATATATTGTAAATGATTGGGGCAATGTTAACCTGAAACCAGGCTTAGGGCGGCCATGTGTGGTGCATTCTTTTTTGATTGCCGCATGCGGGCCACTTAAGGATTAACAGCTGAGCGATAAAAGCTATGAGCAGGGGGTGCTTGTTATCACAGGCCCAAATTGAGAGATCTGGCAGGTCATATGATCTGTGGGACCGCTACCGTGCATTCCCCTTTCTTCATAAAAAAGGGATTATCAGTAAATCTTTGCAGTGCTTAGAAGCCTCTAATGCTATATACACAGAGATGGAATTTATCAAAACTGCAGCAGAGAGAATGAAGAGCAGTTGCCCATAGTAACCAATCAGCTTCTCTCTTTCATTTTCAAAGCTTAACTGAACAGACTGAAGAGAGAAGCTGATTGGTTACTATGGACAGATTCAATCTGCTCCAGTTTTGATAAATTCCCCCCAGTATCTATAATGAAATACATAAGCTAGAGGTATACCTGTTAAAGTGACACTAATCTCAGGGGTTAAATCTTAAAAATGAATTCCAGTACTTTAATTATTAACAAAAATGTATCTTATTTGTGTATCACTCGGCTGTAGATCATCAAATCATCTCTGAATTGACACTGTCCTTCCTTCTG